CACTCCATGGAAGGAAGATGGGGCAATCTACTTATGTAAAGATTTACCACCTTGGAAACCCAATAGGGGTTGCTATCAGCCAGAATCAATCCTATGGCAGTGAGTTTTCTCACTAATACTATATTAAGAACATTTTTTATATCAATAAATCTTCTCTAATAATGTCATTTTTTCTTAATAATATCAATTAGTGACCAGTTTGCACTCCATTATATGGATGTACCATAATTTCTATGACCAATCGACTATTGTTGAAAATATAGGTTGTTTCCAAATTTTTCCTATTGCAATCAAACTGTTGTAATATAATGTCTGTAATCCTTCCCTATTAATACCTTTCTAGAGATAGAATTGCTAGGTTAAAGGCCATGGATATTTTAAGGGTTTTGATACCCAACTCAAGGATGACATACAGAATGGCTATTCTTATTCTCATATTATGTAAAGAATTTTTAAAAAAATCTTTAAATTACTCCTGGAAGGTCTGCTATAAATAATTTTTAAAATTCAATATCTTCATCTTGTCTTAGGACAACATTTGATTATATTTTAAAGGTTTTCATTGGAATATTCAACAAAATTCATGCTGATCATTATTTCACCAAAAACATAGATATATTGATAACTTTTTTACTTTTCTTCTTCATTTGAACATAAATAACTATTCCCAGTAGAATAGATTGATTATTATTTTGTAGATATGTCTCTTCCAATCTATATATCTGCTGGATTTTAAAAATTTAGGGTTATATAGTTTTGTGCTATTCTAGCAATTCATTCCAATGCCCTTACTCACTTAGAAAATGAGAAGGCAGGAAACAGATGAAGTTTCCTTACAGTGTTAATCCAAATACATTCTAACTGGGGAACTGAATTTTGAAGGTGATATGAACCATTTAAATTATAACAGAAAAAAAAAATCACATTCCTATTTTCTTGGCAGTGCTACATTGAAGAATGGGGATCAAACATGTCTAAACCCAGATTCAAAAGATGTGAAAAAGATGGTGAAAGACTGGGAGAAACAGGTTGGTGCAAAAGAGGAACAAAACTTCCTCTCTTCTAGAAATCAACTTTGTAAGACCAAGAATCTGTACAACTCCTTTAAGGATATATTTTTCATTTACATTATTGTGCTCCTATTTTCTTTTCTGCAATAATGCCATCTTCCTATGGTATAATTTTATCCTTGCATATATTATCACTTTTCTGTCATCCCCACTAGAATGTGTGTTCCATGAGAGCAAGGAGCTTGTCTTTCTTATTCAGTACAATAAATCCATATTGAATTGAATGGTAGACACTGAGGATACAAGGGTACTAAGATATGGTCACTTCCCTCTATAGCAAATATGTTGTTGTTGTTGTTGTTAAGTGCCGTCTAGTCGTTTCCGACTCATAGCGACCCCATGCACAGCAGAACGAAACACTGCCTGATCCCGCGCCAGCCCCACAATCCCTGCTATACTTGAG